GGGCAGGTGATGTAGCAGTGCCTAGGGAACAGAGAGACCAGAAAACGCAGCGCTGGAGCAAAGAAATCAGGTTGGCTGGAGCAGTGAGTGGTTGGAAGAAAGCTGTGGATAATAAAGGTGGAAAGGTATACAAGCTTGAATGGTTAAATTGTAAAGAAACTTCTGCTAAGGACACCTACATTGTTCCTAGACTATAGGGATTCACTTTAAAAGGTTTGCATTCATTTAATTACGTATGCCTAAAGGAATTGATATGTAGATTATACTTGTCCATAAGGCTACTATTAATCATTTTTATTATTAAGAACAATCAATTATAGAATATAAAATAGTAGTTAAAAGAACTAATTTTTGTAGGGATCTATACAACAGAATAGCAAAAAAACAAATAACCTGATTAAAAATTGGCAAAGGACCTGAAATAGATATATTTTTAAAGAAGACATACAAATGGCCAACAGGTATATGAAAAGGAGCTCCCTAACCATCACTAATCATCACAGAAATGCAAAACAAAACCACAATGAGATATGACCTCATACCTTTTTGGGTGGCTATTTCCAAAAAAGTCAAACGATGAGTATTGGTGAGGATGTGGAGAAAAGGTGACCCTTGTCCATTGTTGGGAATGTAAATTATAATAGAACAGTCATGATGGAAGCCAGTATGCCATTTCCTCAAAACATTAAAACTAGAACTAGTATATGATTCAGCAATCCCGCTTTGGGGAATATATCTAAAAGAATATATCTAAAAGAATCAGTATGTTGAAGAGATATTTGCATTTCCATGTTCATTGCAGCATTATTCACAAAAGCCAAGTTATGGAATTAACCTGTCAGTCAATAGATAAATGGATTTTTTTAAAGGGATTTTTTAAATGGAATATCATTCAGCCCTAAAAACAAAAGAACTTCTACCATTTGCAACAACATGGATAAATCCGAAGGACATTGTACTGATTGAGATAAGCCAGACACAGAAAGACAAATATTTCATGATCTCACTTATATGTGGAATATAAAAAAGTCAGACTCATAAAAACAGAGAGTAGAAGGGTGTTTAATAGGGTTTGGGGAGGGAAGGAAATGAGATATTAATTAAAGGGTACAAACTAAAGTATAGCGTGGTGACTATGGTTAATACATTGTACACTTGAAATTTGCTAAGAGTAGATTTAAAGTATTGTCACCACACATAAAAAAGGTAACTATGTGAGGTGATGGATATGTTAATTAGCTTGATTGTGATAATCATTTCATAGTATATACATATATCAAAACATCATGTTGTATACCGTGAATATATATCATTTTTATTTGTCAATTATCCCTCAATAAAGCTTAAAACAAGACAAAAGAGAAATATTAATAATTCTTAGAATACTCAAAATTATGATTCATTCTCTTTACCACATAAGGGTCAGTCCACATTTCATGAGAAATTTTGGAGGATCATGAGAGAATTCAAACAAGAAAAAGGAAAAGAAAGGCTTAAAATAGCGCTTCTATTAATAAAATTAAGTTTTGGCAAATCCATAATAGGAAGAATGAACCCACCTGAACTGGAAGGCTTTGGGTTGGAACATAGTCTTTCTTCAGGGAGTGCTGTCTGACTCCTGGGTTTGGATCTTGATAACCTGTGTCAGATCCCACGTCCTTTGAGACTGGGGCCCTGTCTAGCTAACGCGGCCCCCAAGAACGATGTCTTTACCCTCAACTCCAGCCCTGCTGCTAGGACCCTTCTACTTGCTGACAGACTTTTGTAATGACTGCTGTCGATATTTCTGGACTGCTACAGATTGGCTGTGCTCAAATCCCTGATGTCATTATCCACCTGCTTTTTGGCTACTGGATCACATTTTACCTATTGACAAACGACCCCAATGCAGGCAACATGCTTATTATCTCTCTTTCCTCCCTCCCTTTTCTCTATCGTGTATGTATGTGCACACACGCACAAATCCCTTTTCAGAATCTAGTAAACAAGTAATATATAAATAACCTTGTGGAGCATATGTTTTCCTCTCTTGACTGTATTTTCTCCCATTGACTATAAATATTTATGGAGCTCCTATTATGAGTAAGGCTTTGCAACAGGTGCTAAGGATGATTCCTTACCACTCAAGTACACTGCATTCAGGAATCTTATACTCTGGACATGAATGAGCACTTAAGTAAATAATTGCACTGTAAGGCAAAAAGTGATAGCTAGAAAGTTATAAAGGGCTTACAGAGTCCAGAGGAGGGAAGGGGGAAGGAAAATGAATGTTCATTGAGCATCTACACTCAGCCAGGCATTCTCATCTAATCCTAACAGCCAATCTTGGGTATAGGTTATTATTTCCATATTTACATGTATGGAAACTAAGACCAAAACCTGAGATTACACAAAGTAAGAAGTGATTCTAAGCCTCAACTCATGTATGATTTCAAAGCCTGTGCCCTTTCTACAATGATATTCTGAGATAATTGAGGAGATTAAAGAAGGCTTCGTCGAAGGGGTGATGTTTAATGGACACACAAATAGGTAGTGTATCTCAGAGAGCATTAAGAGCAAAGGATCAGGGGTGGGAAAATGTCCAAGGAGGGTACAAAGGCAATTATGATGCTGTTTAGATCATTGGAAGTGGTTGGGGGGTGAGACTAGAAATACTGGTTATAATCCAATAGGGCAGAGTTTAAATACCAGGCAAAAAGATCATGTCTTTATCAAAATTGCAGTAAGAAGTCCTGAAGGCTTTTGATTAAAAGACGGATATAAGTAAGCTATTCAAGATGACCTTGGCAGAGCTATGTAGAATGCATTAGAAGAAGGAGAGAATATTTTTTTTTTCCTAGTAAGTATTTATTCTTGAAGATTTTGAATCCACCATTGGGAAGTAGAATAGTTTAAGGGTTGTGAATACCAGCCCCTTCATTTAATATGTGTGTGACTTTGGGCTCATTTTCTTACCCCTTTAAGCCTCAGTTTCTTCATTTGTAAAATGAAGAAAATATTATTACACATCTCCTAGGGTTGCTATGACAATTAAATGGGAACATGTGCAAAGCACTTTAATGATTAACCACAGAATTTATTCTGGAAGTCATGATGCGGGAGAAAGGATACAGGATTTGTTGTCAGCTTGTATGTGTTTGAGTTCCATACCTCAGCACTTACTAATATGACTACGGCAAGTCACTCAGCCTCTGTAAACTCAAATATTTTCTTTATAAGCTGTGGATGACAATTTATGATATCCATTAAATAGGGCTATTACCAAAATCAAATGAGAACAATGCATGTGAAAGCACTTTGAAACAGGAAAGCTCTGTAAAAATACTAGTATTATTCTTATTGAAAAAGAAAGCATCCTCACTGTTGGAAACTTATGACAAATGCTGTAGGATATAACTAGTGTTGCCAGTCAGTCATCTGTTCTTCCTGATAACCTTGTGTGATGGACAGGGCAGAGATAATTAATTATATTTTAAGGAAGGAAAGAAAAATAAATGCCCAAGCTCACTCTCCCAAGAAGAGGCTTAATCAGATTTTCAACATTAGTTTTTTGAACCTGGCCCTGGCCTTTTTTCTACTATATGTTATTTACCAAACTACAGCCACCTGGTGGCAACTATAAATATATCCCAAGTTTCCAGTTAATCCCAGCCCTAAATCAGAAATTAAGCACATCACAGTTTCCAATAGGCATTTTCTTATACAAATTGCATTCCTGGCAATACCCAATCATGGATCAATATTGATAAAAATGTATAGGTTTTATTATAATTTTAATAAAGTATTCTATCACTATGTCTTATGAACAAACATATTAACTTGCAAAAACAATGTGTCTGCATAATAAAAATTCAGACAATAGTAAAAATGTTACACAAAGGAAAGTATGTTCCCTTCCCACTCTAAACCTCAATCCTCTTTGTCAGAGGTAGTAACTGCTAAGCACAGCATATGTAACCTTCCAGAAACTTTTTGCGCATATTTTTTGTTACACAAAGGACAGTATCGTATTTTTCACTACTCCTTTTTTTTCTTCTTTTTTAAATAGTCATTAGCATCTCCTTCAACTTAGGAGTTTCTATAAATGGCAAATATTTGCCAATAACATATATATTTTGCCAAATATGTTACCTTTATAACTGTGTTACTTAACATTTGCATAGCACATAATATTTGCAAAGCACTCTTACACATGTTTTATCTTCATGACAGAGGGAATATCTCCATTTTGCAAATGAAAACCCTGAGCTTTGGGAGATATAATCTTTCTATAGTTTGAGACACAGAGTAACACCCGCTGGAAAAAAATGACCTTTTTTATTACAACCAAAGTTTGCCATTGGACTTTGTATTTAATTGGATTTGGGAGGGAGATTATTGATGGGTCCAAAGTATAGTTAACAGGAAAGAAAGATTCCTGGGCAGAAATTTTAAACAGAGGTGTGGTAGGGTAAAGTAGGAAATAATATTTGAAAGCAACAAATGCATTCTCTGCTAAAATCTCTGAAGTGAGAACAGGACAGATGTTAAAGTTTCAGATTATCACTGTCTTGTTTTCCACAGGGAACTGTATGTGGGGTATGTGTGTGTGTTTGTGTGAGACACACACAGAGAGAGAGAAACTCTCTCTCCATCAGCTCTTTAGGTGTATAGTTTGCCAATTACAGATCTTGGGACTTCTCAGCCTTCATAATTGTGTAAGCCAATTCCTTACTTTACAGATATTTAAAATATTCTCTGTTTCTATGGAGAACCCAAACTAATACAGATTTTGGTATCAGAAGTGGTTCTAGAAGAATAGAATTTTAAGGGTGACTTTTCTGAATTGTTTCTGGGGTTTCTGGAATTGTTTCTCTAATCTGATTATATTTAAAGACTCTAATGACTCAGTAAGTAGAGTGGTAAAAGATGAGCTCAAGGATTTGAATTACCAGCTCATTTGATGCATAAGTGACCTGAAAGCTTCAATGTGTCCTGAAGGAGACCCTTATCTCTTGTAGCCACAAGGCTAAGATTGCTGAAAATTAAACTGAATGTCATCTTGTGCCTGGCTGAATTACAGGACAAGTTGAACTTCCAGCCTTGCAGGGCATCTACTATTAAGGTAAGGATAGTAAGGACATTGGGAAAAAAGGGGATCCTAAAAGCTGGAATGAGGACCTGTGGGAAGATCCTGCTGAAGGTGGGGGCACTGAACTCATTTTGATGAATATTTTTTGCCAGTTGGAGAGGCCTGCTCACCCCAAGCGGAAGTGACCTCCCATCCACAGCTGCAGCAGACTCTCTATCCGAGGGGACTAACGCTGCATTGTTGGGGGGGGGGGGAATTGCCACGTACAACAATGCTGATCCTCCTTAGGATCCATCCCTCTTTGTTTTTAGACTTATAACTACACCCATGTCCCAGAAGACCCCAAAAGGTGAGGTACAAAATGTGACCCATGAGGAAGTACATTACAAGCAGAAATATATTCAAGCAGAAATCCCGGACATATGTGTGGGAATGGATATTGAAGGTGTGGGATAATGGTGGAAGGAGCATAAGGTTGGATCAGGCAGAATTTATTGATATCGGTTCACTAAGCAGATTCTACATTTAATGTTTCAGCACAGGGAGTTAGGAAGGGACATAATACTTTGGTGGGTTGGATAAAACACAGACAAAAGTTGGCCCATAGGGGCCTTGGTTTCATGTAGGTGAAAGGATTCAAAGATTCAGGGAGATTGGAATATTAGAGTGGATTTGTCATGTAAGACCTACTCATCTATACCAGGAGGGTCAAAAAACATCTTTTTACCACTATTGGCCCTTTCTCTCCTTTTTATCCATCTGGAAATACTGTTATGTGAAAAATAGGTCTGGTGATGGTTTTTCATAATTCCTGTAGGTTTTCTTTATCGTTTTAATTATCTTTTCATTTTGCTCCTCTGACTGAACAATTCCAAATGTTCTGTCTTCAAGTTCACTGATTCTTTCTACAGATCAATTGAAACACCTTTTGAAGCTTTCTTTTGCATTTTTCAGTTTAGTCATTGTGTTCTTCATCACCAAAACTTCTAATTTTTTAAATTGTTTCTGTTTGTCATAAACTTCTCTTATTATTCATGTATTGTTTTCCAAATTTCATTTAATGTTTTATCCATATATTCTTATAGTTCACTGAGGAGGATTATTCTGAATTCTCTGTCTGGCATTTAATAGATCTCAATTTCTTTAGGGTCCATTGTTGGAGCTTTTGGAGGTGTCATGATTTCCTGAGTCTTTTTAATCCTTGTGTCCTAGCACTGGTGTCTGCTTATTTGAGGAAACAACCACCTGTTCCAGCTTTTACAAATGTCTGTTGGCAGGTATAGACTTTCATTAGTTAGTCTACCCTGTGATCCTGGACAGGCCAGCTGGTAATGACAGCAGGCAGAAAGAGCTTTCTTTCAGGTTCTTTAGATGGCTGGGCTACTGCTTTTGCAGAGGTTGGGTGAGGAAGCTGGCTGGGTTCTGCCGTCAGGTGAAACTACTCTCTGAGTTCTGCAATCAGGCAGAGCTGCCAGATGGGCACTTCAATTGCCTCTGATCTGGCTGGGCAACAGGATGTATTCCCTGGCCAGGTGGTACCACTGTTGAGTTTGGCAGATGGACAAGATTGTAGTAGGGGCCCTGAGGTTAGGTAAAGTTGCTGCTTGGGATGGATGGGACCATCTCTTATACTTAGTAGTTTTCCACCCTGCCTGGGTAGTCTTGGGTGGGCTTCAAGGCTGAGCTGAGTGCTTTCCAACTCCCAGGTATGACAGAACTAGCCCCTGCTTTTTGCTGAAATGTGCTGTGGTAGTGATCTCCCTCCCTGAGTGGAGTTTTGGAGTGGGAGTTGAGGCCATATTTAATGCTATTTAAACTTCTGGATGTGGGAGAATTAGCCCCTGCTCTTTGCCAAAGTGCACAGTGGTAGGTGTCTCTTTCCCTGTGTGGGGATTTGGGGTAGGGTCTGAGGCAAGCCAGGCAGAACTTCCCACCAGTTCTGGTTGAGAGTGATCAGCCTGACTTTGCAGGTGAGCTATGTTATTAGCTGATACCTCAGATTTGGAACCACCACTGGCAGGTACACAGAGCTATCACCAAGATCTGATCGCTGGTCACTGTGGGCTCTGCCCTATTGCTTTGTTTCTACCAAGCAATGTTCCTGCCTCGGCCTTGAAGAGTGCTAGGATTACAGGAATGAGCCACCACACTGGCAAAGATCTATTTTTTAAAAAAATTAAAACTGATTCAAACCTTATGCTTTCTAAAGTGTCAACTGCCAAGTAATTACCTGAGCTACAAATAGTATCTCTAAACAATATTCTTTCTCTTGAGAATTATCAAGAAGAGGCAAGGCTGCTATGAATGGGGCAGGGAGGAATATATGTGGCATCCAAATGCTACACTGGGATGTTTCTTCATATTCCTGTGCCCAGTTGTGAAAGTAAATAGACAAGTAGATCAAAGGCATCCTGAAAGGGCCATGGCAATTAGGGCTCAGGTCCCTTTGGGGTGATGATATGGATTAGCTGTTAAGTAAAACATCCAGATGGGCAGAGGAGACAGCTGAAGAAGAAGGTACCATGAAACAAAGAGGGGAGATGATTAGCATCCTCGGGCAGCGATGTAGCCCTGAGATCAGCTGCGGTGGGAGCTAGAGTTTGTCCAATTAGCCTTTCTTTTTTAAGAGACCAGAAGGAAGAGAAACGTCTCCCCAAATGTATATCAAGATATAGAATAGAGTGGTGCAAGGGGTGGTCTCTGGGGGACCTGGCAATGTGCCACCAGATTCCACTTTAAGGAAGGACTTGCTGCCCAGCTCCTGGAAGCACTGTTAACAGACAGCTTTAGTTGTGAGCACCTTCAGGATTTGCCTTGGTAGCAATGAGCTTCCTCATTCAAGAGCACATTCTTCCTGGGCCAATACCCCATTCTGACAGGGGTAGAAAGATCCGGACATTTTGTCTCAGGACAATTCTCATGAACCATATGTGCTCCTCTGGGGCTGTCTGAAGCTCTTCTAGAGCTGCATCAAGGTTCTACTCTCCTTCTTCTCATCCATTCACAGATGTCAATGCTTACTAAATATCCTAGACTCCTTTTCAGTATCTGCTTCCAGAGACCCTCATCTGCAATGCACACTCAAATCAGGATCATTTGAGGAGGGTTTAATAAAGGGTCTATTGACTACGTGTTGACAAGATGAAAGGCAGCCACAAGGGATTGTGGCTTAGCCTAGGGTTAGTAACAGGGAGCTGTGACCACTCATTAGCCCACAGGGAGGAAAGGAGGAACTAGTTATGGGGACCAGAGGAACAGAATCATCATACAAAGAGAGCTTGAGAGGAGCAGAGCTTCCAGGTGGAAGGACTCAGCAAGACCAGGTAACTCTGCAAAGAGAGAGTATTGGGGAAATATAATTGAAAACAAAATCTTCTCCCAACCCAGAAAACCTCTCCACAAAGATAGTAGAGAGAGAAAATAGTTTTATTATTGAATAAGCATTGAACTAGGATATTGTGCAAATCACTAAGAGAAATCTGCTAAGAGATTGCAAAGAAAGAAATCTCATCTTTTCATATACTCCCAAACATACAACCCCTTCCATATATGTTTTCAAGATAAACATCAACTGGTCCTGAATTAAAATGACTTGACAGCACCATTTATCACACAGAGTTAATCCTCAACTCACCTGGTAATTGGGGTGATCATCTGTGTTAGCTACTTGGCTTTATTCAGAGGAACAACAATTTTTTTATGTCTTATGTCAAGACATAGTTTTGCAACTTAGAACAAAGCAACCACTGAAGTTAGGCTCCCACAGAAACTGAGAGATAAGGGTGGTGTCTTCTTGTTTCTATTTCAAGGAGATGGCTCCCAGGTCCTTGAGAAAGACATTCCAGGTTTACAAAGTTGGCAAGAGGCTTATTTTGCTTCTAAAAATATTTACACACACTTCAAAGTGACACAAAGATAATTTACCATGACACGTTTTCTAAGGTAT